TAGTAGATTTTTCAATTGAATTTTGAATTTAAATTTAATTTTAATTTAGGATATAAAAGTTGGAATCGATTTACAAAAATATTGTAGCGGTTTGATTAAGTTTGAAGTAGTTTTAAGTAGATGATAGTAGGTTTTTAAACAAGGTAATCCAATTATTCTATACAAATTTGAATGACGTTGAAAATATATTTATATCAAATATTGATAATTCTAATAGATATTTCTCTTATTTTTTTAACGAATTCCCGTTTGGACGAGTTTGAACGAACAATTTTCCATTATAAGTGGAATTATTATTATCATCGAAGAATTAAAAAAAGGATTTCGATCATTCTATTTTAATATTCCAAGGGTTAAGTCTTTCCTCCATTTCTTCTATTTTTTAATGAACCCCAGTTTGAACGAGTAAATATTTTTTTTTTTTCTTTCTTTTTTTTTTCACCATATAATTTCGCATACAGTGGGGAGAAAAGGAAGGAAACAGGCGGAATTACGGAAGTTTTCTCGGTGCTCATTGATTAAAGAACCGAAGAGCCTGGAGAGAAAAGAGGCTGCGTTTCCAAGACTTTCCTTTTTGTTTAAATATTTATGCCTCGTCTTTTTCATATTGTTTCCCCGCGTTTTTTATGAATTTCAACTGAAACGTCTGATTAATTAAACTGTCTCCCTTCGTCTTACTATCTTCCTCCTTTGACATTCAACGACAAACAGCATGGATTTTTAAATTAAGACAAGATACTCTATTGGGAATAAATTAAGTTACAATCTCTTTTCCACGAATACATCGTTTCACGATCCTTTTCTTTCTTTCATTCTTTTTGCTTTTTTTTCTTCCTTTTTTTTTTTTTTTTTAATCAGGAAAGAGCAAGTTAAACATTTAGAGAATTACCTGTCAAACGCACAATGTCTCTGTGATGTTTCGTTATATACTTTTAGTCGAGTCGCGCCTGCGAATTTTATATTTTATTTCTGTCAGATTTTCGCGAAAATCGATATTTTAATTTTATGGATAATTAAATTAGTTTGTTTCCTTTTCCTTTTTAAAATTAATTTTAACGAATAAAAAGATTAAAAATAAGGTAATTTCATTTTTATTCTTCTCGTGGATGGAGAATAAGAGAATAATGGATTTTTATCTTGCGCATCTTCGATCTGAGAACATTAATGTTTCTCTATTTCATTTTCGAAGAACAATGCACTCATTTTATCGAACTTTTCCAAAAAAAAAAAAATAATAATAATAATAAAATATTCCTTTCATTTTCGAAATTCCTCCATCTCTCAATTTCCATATCAACAAATCTTCGGCTGCTAAATATTTAACAAGACTCGGTGAGAATAAAATTAATCAAAAGCTCAAACTATCGATTCGTTTTCGTACAAAAATTAAATAACGAGGGAAGATGGAGCAGTGTATGATTAATTTTTCGTTTCTTCGATATCTCTTGATATTTTATCAGACGGAAGGAATCTTTTTCTATTATTTAAAAATATTTAATTACTTAGAAAATAAATCACACGCTTCCAATCTTTCTCCATCTTCCCTCGTTATTTCAACGAGGATTAAAACACGAAAAAAGACGTTTCTTCTATGTTCCGCTTCTGTACGCGATAATTTCTTCGCCGATGAATATTACAAGCACAATCACGGGAAGAGAAAACAAAATCAATCGTACACATCCCATCGAGCCTCCCCCATCCCCCATCGAACCCGAGTTACTCGTTTAAATTCCAAACAAGACAGACACCGATGGCTGCCAATAGCTCGCCTCTTTCGGCGTTTCAATCTCCCTCAAAGTCCTCTCGCTCTCCACCTCGATTCCTCGAACCACTCGAACAGCAAACTCCCGATAAAGAGGCGCCTCTGTCGCGCTATTCGTCGACTAATCGACCGTCACGAATAATAAACGGCATCTTTGACGATCTTGGAGGAGCGTGGCTTGAATCAACATCATCAGACGCGGGCAGACCGGGATGTAATTGCACAGGTTTACGATTTAATGGTCCACTCGACGCTCGGACCCTGTATAAATCGGCTCGACTTCTCCCCCTGTCTCGATAAAAATCACCCACCCTCCACTTCCCCCTCTCCAACGATTGTAGGATCGGTGGATCTTTATGCTGCGTCCATATCGGTGGAGATTCCTTGGGAAAGAAGTGATTCGGGTTAAAGATTGTTGGATTTGTTAGAAATTGACGATGGATAATGGATATTTTTATTTTTATAATATTGGTGGTGATTGTTTATTGTGTGATCGATTAAAATGTTTCTGTGAACGATATACAAAAGGTGGAGAATGATTGGAAAATTATTGGAGTTGGGGGAGAAGAAATCGAAAGATATTTCGAGGGTTTTGATTGAAAAATTAAATTGATATTGCTGAAAAATTTCTTTGGTATTTGGAATTATGTGAATAGACTTTAATAAAGTTTTCATCTCATAGAGAATGAGATTCCAAAATTTTCGAGAAAAAAAAATGGCAATGCATCTCGAGAGGGTCTCGAATACTTTTTGATGGATTCTAAATTTCAAAATTTTCCAAAAATTTCGAATCACTGTGGATGTATTCCACAAGAATTCGACAAGAATAAGAAGAAAAGAGTGGGGGGTGACCGATGTGGACGCTGCATTAAGCTTCTACCGGGGTCAAATCACAAGGCTGGCTCGTGAAAATTGAGAATACAATTTGTAAGCGGTTCGAGGATGAATATCAAGTCGATTCGATGCGATTCACCCTCTTGCTTGGCTCGATGCATTAGAATAATCACGGCAGATCGGATTTCAGATTACAACGTTTCGACTTCGCGATCATCGAGAGACGATTCGTCGATCGCGAGGAATTATATTAAGATACGATTATAGATATAATACGTTGGTTCGTTAATATTTATTTGGAATCGTTGTTGGATAAGATTAGATCGATAATATGCATGATTGAACGTGCTCGAATCGAGCCGAGGCAAAATCGGAATTGTTTCACCGATTGGATCCAAGATTAAACTAACACCGGAATTTAACACTATCGCTATTTGCATAATGATAAAATTGCCTCAAAGAGGGTGAAATTTGATATTTCACTGATTCCTGATATATTTAACACGATATTTATGATAATAAATATAAATAATTAGAATATTCGTTATGACTTTATACTTGGAAAATTTTGCCTGGAAATATTTTTGCAATTTAACAATTATCCTTTTTTTTTTTTGTACAAATTATTTTCTGAATCACAGGATGAAAATACTTCATCCATATTTTGAAAAATATAATTTATAACCTACCACCCCTCTTCATCACATCCTAGACACAATTTTATAATTAAACTTTCAATTCCATTTAAAGGAAGAAAAACGTAACTCTGAATATAATTTTCTCGTCGAAAAGAATATAGTAACAAATCCAAAAAAAAAAAAAAAAAGAAAAAAAGAAAAAATACAACGCAAAAAATATCAATATCCCTCCTCCCAAAAATCCGAAAACCCATCGAATCCCAGAATATCCACATTGGGATAACCGAGTGTCCAGATCCAATTCGAGGCGAAATTATGGAAAGGAAATAGGGAGTTTTTAGCGCGATAATGACTTTCCGGTAAATTAGAATCGATAAGCGGCATCGGTGTACCATTTCTAGATCCCCGTTAACGATCTTTTTGCCAGGGGCCCCCCGTCGGTCGAAGGGTGGCGAACATACGGGGCAAAAAAAGGGGGATGGAGGTCACCTAGTCAAACGTGCCCCTCCTTCCTCCTCCTCCTCCTCTTCCACCCCTTCTCCCCCCTTTTTATCACTTAGACAGGTAGCAAAAATTTCCACATTCGTTTCACGACTTGTGCGGACAATGATTTTCCGCAGAGGCAGCGCGATTATTAATGCGAGAAGTTGAAAGGGGAGGGGGGTTGGGGGTGGCAAAAATTCCAAATCGCTTCTGGAACGCTTTCCAGAGAGAACGCTTTTGTCCAGATTTTTTTAACGGTTAACGACTCTGGTTTGTTTGCTTTAAAAAAATACACCGTGGAAATTCTTAGCCTCTGAAAAAAAAACCCTCCCCTCCCCTCCCTTCCTCGTCTCCCCTACAAATTGGGTTACACAAATATTTCCAAAAGCTAGGTAATCCTCCCTCCAGACCTGAAATTGTTTCTTTTCTCTCTCTCTCTCTCTCTCTCTCTTCGTTTTCGTTTCTTGATGTCAATGTGTTTCAGTTTCTTTTTCCTCTTTTTTTTTTTTTGGATTCTTTCATCCGCTCGTGGACGAGTATTTTTTAACTATTTCTAACTAAGTCGACGTTTCGATTGAAAATTTTATTTGGAAAATACGTATTATTTTTCTTTTGTTGGTTTATGGTGATTCGTTTATCGAGTATTATCGAAGGAATTTATTTATTTATTTATTTTTTCTTTTGATATGTTAACGTTTCCACGTTATGATAATTTGTAAATTGATGATTCTTTTAATTATTTTCTCTTAGGATTTTGATCATTGGATTTTTTTCTTCCAACGTCAGAAGGTCGAATCTTTAAGAAAATCGATTTCATATCGTATTATAATTTAAAAATTCTTTACGAAGTATTTTTTTTTTTTCAGAAATATTTCTAATGAACGAATATCTGTAAAAATGTTGCCATATAAATATAATTGAAAATTGCCACAATCGATATTAGGATTATACGAGAATTAGAATCATTCCGTGAAATTCTTTCCTTTCTTCGAATTACTTTTCTTTCTCGAAAAAAAAAAAAAAAAGAAAATCGTTCGAACGAGAAAACGAGAAACAAACGAACGGAGTTATCTGGCACGAATTCATACGAAGACAGTATATCCGGGACGGATGAATTTTATTAGATTCTTTATGACGCACTTGGTGGCAATGAGCCGATCGTAAAACGGCGCATTAGCGGGAAACTAAAGTTACGTGATTTATTAATCTTGTCGTTGCTCGATATTTGACCGGCCAGTATTCCGTCAATTAAATCTCGTTGTAAATATCGTGGTTAAACTTACGTGTTACAGAAATTGGTGGTGGCAGCCGTACTCGCCGATACCTGAAACACGAGAACGAATTTCCATCATTATTCTCGACTCGGTTAACGATTTTGCATCTTTTATTTGTAAAAAAAAAAAAAAAAAAAAAAAAAAATACAAGTATATATATATTTTTCATTCATTAGACGTTGTGAAGTGAAGAACGAACGGGTAAATGGACATTTATGAGAAATGCACAAGGATAAAATAAATAAAACATTTAAACATGTAGTATAGATATTGTATCGTGTTATTTGGAGAATGAATCGAGTATTTATTATTTAAATTCCATTTCCATAATTAGGAATTTAATTGGTCTGATGAATTTGCATAAACGTCTATGAAAGTAAGTAATATTGAAATAATTATTATAGAATTAAATATTTTAATAATATTAAATATCGTGTAATATTCGATGATTTTAATGCCTCGTAATTAAATTTATTTTACGAGTAAAACACCGTGGATATTTATTTACAAGGGATAATCTTTTTAAAATATTTTACTAATTTTCAAAACATTCGAATAGATCAATTTCTCCCCTGAAAAATATCCACCAAAATATTACATTCGATATTCCATTTCGATAAATTGAATACCACCTTTCACGGATATCACATTTCTTCTTCCCCTCTCCCCTCCCTCCCGCATTTTTATCTCTCAATGTGTTAAAAACTCCGGTCATTTCGCCTTAAACAGCCCCCCGTTTAACAGCTTTTATTCGAAACTTTAAAATTCATGCGCGCCATCAAAGCCCAATAATACTCGAAATAACTCGTGCATTTCAACGTGGAAAGGGGTAGACACTGCCTCGCGTATTTCTGCTTCTCCAATTTAACAACCATTGAGGAAAAGTCAATGGAAAGATGTTCGAAACAGGCGTAAATGTATCGTTGGACGAGTATCGAGGCGTATCGAGGCGTATCGAGGCGTGGCCTCTCTCGAGAAAAAAAGGAAAAAGTAATAATAAGAAGAAGAAGACGAGTGTGTAAAGTCGAAAGTTTATGCGCCTATCTTTCTTACACGATGGAAGAAAATTGTAGGAAAACGTTCGCGCAAAAATGATTCTCGTTCGTTTTACGTGGAGAGACGTGTACGTATGATCGTTGTTTGTGGTGTTAACATCGTTGAAAGTTATTTTGAAAAATTTAGGAAAAAAGTGTTTAGAAATAGAATAATGTTACTGGAATAATTTATGAGAAATTATATTTTTATACAGATAAGAAAATAAAAAGTAAAGAATTATTTGTTCATCTATTGAGCGTTATAACGAGAATTATATTTTGGAAATTATTTTATATAGATAGACCTAAAATTATATTAGATATATTTTATTTAACGAAGAAAGTATTCAATTAAAAGAGAAATATATACTCAAATATTTTTCATGTATTCTTCATTCCAATTGAACATTCTTCGAATATCTCGGAGATTATAAACGAAAGATATTAAAAAAAAAATAATAATAATTCAAAGGAAAGATAAAAACCGATGGAACTTAAAAATTCGAAACTTAAAAATTCTCCAAAAAAAAAAAAAAATGTTTCTTTCGATTCGACGCACAAAAGATTTCGCACGACGTAAGACAGAGAACGACAGTGAAACGTGAAGTTTGATTTGGAAAGAAGAAGAAGAAGAAGAAAAGGTGAAAACAGCCTCCATTGTCCTCCATCGTTTCCCATTCTTTATTTTTTATTTCTTTTTTTTCTGTCCAAGAGAAGCTTGGATTTCAGTTAACCGCGCGAGATTCGAAAACAGGGATGGGATTGATTCAATGGAGGGAAATCAATTTTGGCGGGATGGGTGGCAATTTGCTTTTCAGCCGCGGCGATCGCGTCAGGATAATAGCGACGATTCGTGGTGATTGTTTAAACGGGGATAAGGCAAACAACGTGTACAGAACCGCCAAATTTTCACCACCTCCTTTTCAATATTTTATAACATCCGTTTGTTCCGCCCGAACAATCCTCGCGAGTCGTGTTTTTTTAATCATCACCGCCGTTTGTCCAACAGCGGTGAATAACGCCGAGAGAACGATTTTCGATTTCTGAACGTTTCTTTTCTTTTCCTTTTTTTGAAGAACGAAATTGAAAAAAATGGAAGAACAATTTTAAGAAGTTATTTTGTATCCTATTAATTGAATGCGATCGAATGAAAATTTTTGAAAAAATTGTGATTAAACATTTTCAGATGTCGCTAATTTAATAGTATAATATATAAATTAATAAAAAATTATATAATAATATAATAAAATAAAATAATAAAATAATAATAAAATAAAATAAAATAAAATAATTTTTGATATTGATATTTTACTTAATTGTTGTGTATGTGGATGTCTGGTAAATTGATCGCGCTCAATCGATGGGGTTATAATTTATAAAAATATTAAGAGGAGAGAAATCTATTTATTTTTAGAAAATAAATGGTTACATATTTTCTAATAAAATAAAATAAAATCATGTTTTGAAAGCAATTTATAATTACGCAATAACTAGATTTCTTTCCTCCTATAAAGTAAAGAATAAACTTTGAACTTGAAACTTTACCTTAAAATAATAAAAAAAAAACCTCCATCTCTTTGATCTCGACGATCTGATATATATATATATAGGGGATACTAACGAGACAAATCGAAACAAATTATCTTCGTTTCCGACCGTTCAAGAAATTTCCATGAAATCAATATTTATTAATTTTCGAGGAGAAATTGGAAGTCGAAGCGTTGCGCTCAAGTTGAAACTTGAACTTGTGGAATAGCCGATTCTGCGAGCGAGCATTCGCCAATTCGTAAATCTTATCCCATCGAGAACGAGAAGTTGGCGGGTCGCAAATCTCGTTTCGAAAACTGGCGCATTATCGTTGGGGAGGGGGAGAGGGAAAGCCGAATCTCTCTCTCTCTCTCTCTCTCTCTCACTCTCTCTCTCTCTCTTTTTTTTCCTCCTCCGCGGAAATCCACTTCAGACTCTCGAGCGAACGAGAGGGGTCAAAGTGCGCCGACAACGTGCCAGTGTAAGCGCAAATATCTTCTCGAGGGCGGAATATCCAACTGAAATCCTTGAAAAGTTGTCCAAGATATAGGATACTTACGTATACTTCCGGTTTATAACATCTGTCTACTGACTTCTTTTTTCTCTTCTCCTTTCTCTTTTTCTTTTTAAATTTAAAACGAATCGATATGAGTCGAATTTTTATTTTTCGTTCGAGAAAAGGAAAAAGGAAGAATTATTATTTTATTCGTGGCAATAATTTTCCGATTTATTTTTCATCGGACAAGGATCGTTCAAGATGAATTGATTGAACGAAAAATAGGTAATTACTTAGCAAGAGGGGGAAAGCGAGACATCGTGATTCCATTGTTATCTCGCCACCCTAATCGGAATCGTCCTTGACCTAGGATCCCCGAGCCACAGCATCCTCTCGGCAAACCCTCGAATCCTCTCGTCTCTTCGACAATCATCCCTACTTCTGTCTTTTCTAAAAACCTTTCTAAAACATCATATCAACATTTCGCATATACATTTTCGAAAATTAAGAAAAGTAAGAATTAAATAAAGTAAATTTCCCACCTAATTTTGTGCCTAATTAATTGAAAACAATTGGATTCCTTCTTCTCGTTCTTCTCCTATAATTAAGTATCCTATGAACTATTTCTACTACTTTTATTTTCATTCAGATTAAAAAAAAAAGAATTCAATTAAAAAAAAAAGAAAAACAGACCTCATTCAATCTACGATTAAACAGTTTCATCGTGAAAAGAAAAAAAAAGAAATAAAGCTTAAAAATCGAATGAATTAACCTAATTAAATCTCCAAACGATTCTACCATTTCCAGTTTCGTCCACGTCGTTATCATCGTTTACGCCTCGATTAAAAATAATCGCATCTCGTCGCGTCTATCCTCACCTGGCCAATTGATCATTCGAAATTTAATCAATTTCCTCCATTCCTTTCCCATCCACGAGAGAAATTTAAATAAATAAATTTATATATCCCGATCGTTCAACCGAATCGGGTTGACAATCCTCAAGCCGAATTAAAAATATGATACGCTCCTTTCACGTTTCTTCTCCGCCCCTATAATTAATTATATCGATTGATCGTGCCCCCATCGAGGGTTTCGAAGGAGGGATACGAGACATCAGAGAATGCAAACACGGAACCGTCGTTGCAATACCACGATAGTGCATTATCGTGTAGCAAGTCGTGCTTTTGTCCGTCGAGAGATTTGGTTACAAGTACAATCGATCAGAGAGAGAGTCTATCTAATTGCTGTAGGTCCCGTAACGCGGTGTTAATGACGTAGCACAATGATATTCGATTCAGGATGAAGCAAGCTGCTGGATGAATCGGGGAGGGGTGGCGTACCCTGGCCCCCCCTCTCCCACGTTCACCACGTTCACGGAATCTATCAGCCACGGTCTGACGTTCCACGTAAACGGGTGTGTATTATGGAGGATGTGTACGCGAGGGGATAACAATGCCCTCCCCCCTCTCCCTTAACCTCGAAACGTTTTGGAAAATTATTCTAACGCGGTGGAGGAGGAAAACGTATTCCGGATTATTCTGATGTTTCACGGTCACGGGGACGGAGGATGAGAGAAAGAAATTGGCAAATTTGGCATTAAGAAATTGGAAAATGGAAGTTTTTCATCTTGATTCGAAATTGAAGGGAAAGTAATTATTATTTATGTGAAATTTTTTTAAAGATTTTATAAATTTAGAGAGGAAACTCAATTTGTAGCAATTTATGTAAATTATGTAAGTGAAGAAATAGGTAGATAATATTAGGGAATAGGTTGTGGGAAATGATTGGACCAAAAGTAATAGCAAGAAAGAATATATTTAATAAAGAAAAATGTGGATCTTGATTTGGAATTGGATGAAAAGGGAAATAAGAATTAATTACCTATAAAATTTTTTAAAAGTTTTATAATCTTAATTTAGAAAAGAAACTCAATTTGTAGCAATTCAATATAACTAAAGAAATAAATAGATAATATTAGGGAATAGGATATGGG